TTCAAGCGATTCTCCACCCCCAGCCTCCCTAGTAGCTGGGATTGCAGGTACTCGCCACCACACTAGGCTAATTTTCTTCTTTTTAGTAGAGAGAGCGTTTCACCATTTTGGCCTGGCTGGCCTCAAACTCGTGACCTCAGGTGAACCACCTGCCTCAGGCTACCAAAGTGCTGGGATTACAGGCATGAGTCACTGTGCTGGACAAATAAAATGTTTTGTTTTTTTTTTTGAGACAGAGTCTTGCTCTGTCACCCAGGCTGGAGTGCAGTGGCATGATCTCAGCTCACTGCAAGCTCCGCCTCCTGGGTTCACGCCATTCTCCTGCCTCAGCCTCCCGAGTAGCTGGGACTACAGGCACCCGCCACCACACCTGGCTAAGTTTTTGTATTTTTAGTAGAGACGGGGTTTCACCGTATTAGCCAGGATGGTCTTGATCTCCTGACCTCGTGATCTGCCCGCCTCGGCCTCCCAAAGTGCTGGGATTACAGGCATGAGCCACCGTGCCCGGCCAAATAAAATATTTCTTAATTAAGGTATTTACATTTTTTTAGACATAATGCTATCGCATACCTAATAGGCTACTGTATAGTATAAACATACTACTATACAGTAGCCTATTGTATACAAATAGGTGTCCCGCACGCTCCTCTGAGCATCTGCACTCATCGTTGCCCTGCCTGCAGTTCCTGGTCGCCTCTGAGCTCCTGAGCCTGCTTCAGCCCTTCTGCAGGACTTACCCAGCCCTCCCCAGTACCCTGGCCTCCAGTGCAGCCCCTGACAGCACTCCTGCTGTGGGTCTTCCCTGCAGAGTGGGTGCTACACCTGGATGGAAGAGGTGAGGAGGAAGGACACACTTCCCTAACTGGAGCCAGCATGGCCCTGGGAGAAGAGCAGAAATGGGACTTCTGGTAGGAGAACCGGGAATTGTTTACTTATTTTAGAAGAAGCATGAGCAAGCCACCATCTAGAGGAGAAAGGGGATGAAATTAGCGGAGGCACTAAAATACTTCGGTTTACTCTGATTAGAGCAGAAGAGAAATCTGCAGACAATTAGCAGCAAGTGAAGATCTTGCTATAGAAATAAGGAAGTGGTATGGGTAAGCGAAGGCTGTGCTGTTAGTTTCAACAGGCTGCACGTGAAAGCAGACACATGCCATGCCCAGCTGGGTCAGCCGAGTCGGCCCAGCCGCCAGCCTATCCTGTCTGTGCACTGTCCCAGGTGCAGTGAGCCCCTGGCCCCCATGCCTGACTGCACATCATGCCTGGAGGAGGCTGTACTTGTCCTCAGCAACCTGCCCTCAAGAGGTGCTTTTCCTAACTGGCATGAAAGTCCTATATACGCTACCAGGCAGTGGTGAGGAAGGCTCTCTGATCCTAAAATCCCATGATTGCCTTAAATAAGTACTTGAAGTACCAACCTGTGAGAAGCTGCAGAGGTGATGTCTGAGCATGCGGGGTGGTCTTGGCTGGTCTCGGGTGTTATGGAGATGCCCTGAGCACTCGGCAGGGCCTGTGTTGAGCTGCCAAGGTGTTTTGAAGCAAATGGAAGGTGAGAGTTGGGCCCAGGAGCTAGGATGATGTGAGCCCTGCTACCTACAGGTGCCGCCCGGTTCTCCCTGCCATGCCAGGCCCAGGTGCATGTGTCTATGAGGACTGGCTCGCCACTGAGTGCAGGGGACGCTGTCCAGCTCAGCCAGGAGACTCTGAACTGGCAGTCCTGACAGGACACAACTCACAGACGTTGATGGGAAACAGGGTAACAGGCGATGCCACTGTGGCTGCAGGGGGCAGCAGCAGAGACCCTGAGAGGTGGGAGGGGGGCAGGTTGGGAAGGGCCGGTCTCAGCACAAATTGCTCTTCAGTGTGGTCCTTCCAAGGCCGCCTCTTGAGTACCTCAGGGAGGACAGCAGATGCAGGTGACCCCCACCTGGGCCAGGGCCCCCCCAACACGAGCCACATGCCAGAAAACAGAGCCAGCACATCCATCTGTTTTTGGTGTCCCCTAGGAGGTGCCCAGAGGAAAAAAAAGTAGGCCGAGAAGAGATTTTCCAAAGTGAAGCCAGGCTTATTTACATTCCGCTTCCCCCAGCAACCTGCACCGTTGCCTGTGCTTGGTGCCCCAGGCCGCACCGACAGCTCCAGCAGCCCAGCCCTGGCCCTACCCCTGAACGTGTGTGACCATGGACAGAAGCTCCATCCCCTCGAACTTTTGTGTCCGCAGCCGTGAAACCTCTGCAAGAAGGCCACAGACAGCCCTGGGGAGGAAGCGTGTTGCACAGGGCCTCCTGAGCAGCGATAGCCCTGCGAGGGGTTCCATGCTCCCGGGTCACCGAGCTCCATGCTGTGCGGGAGCAGTGGTCTGGAGGGAGAAGTGGCCCAGCCCCAGTCGGCATGTAGCCACAGCCAATCCGTGGAATAAGGCCTCCACGGAGCACAGGCCACTGAGCCCCCAGCTGTGCACCTTGCCTACCAGCCCAGCCCAGGAGCAGGAGGGAAAGGAGTCCATAAGCTGTGGTCAGCAGCTTGGGTGTGTTCTGAGCCTGCCTTGGCAGCTGATGAACCCCCCACTCCAGAGCAAAGGCAGCCCCGGACCCCAGAACCAACTAAAAGGAGTTGTTGGTGCGGCCTGAGTCGCATACCACCCGCCCCTGGCCAGGAGCCAGCCCGGCTGCACATTCTGCGTGTGGCCACTGAAGCAAACTGTTCTGACACCATAAAGCAACAGATGAGGCTAACTTAAGCAGGATTTACACGCAACTGTATTTCTTTGAGAGCAGGCACATCACTTTGTGCATCATTGTTACTGATTCATAAGCCTTCCAGGGATCCAAGCTGTCTCTGCACTCTTCCTCTCCTCGTCTGCCTTCCTTTGTCTCAGCCCAGGCTGTGTGGAAGCCACTCTTCCCTCCGCTCCCCTTCACTTTCCTCCTCCCCCCTCTCCTTCTCTTTCCTCCTCTATCCTCTCCCCATCCTCTCCCATCCCCTCCTCATCTCCTCCTCCTTCCTCCCCCTCCTCCTACCTCCCCCTCACTCCATCTCTCTCATCCCCTCTCCTTCTCCATCCCTCCCTGTTCTCTCCTCCCCTCCAGCTTCTCTGCACAGTACATAGGCACATGTTGGCTGCAGTTGTTTGTCATTTTCACTGGTCTTTTCCCTTAGTGTATTTCCTCTATGGTGATCAGAACAGAATCACACCCTGGGTTCTCTCCATTTGTCACCTGGACATAGCATCGAAACTGTGAACACGGTTGGGGGCGGGGTGGAGTTCCTCTCCTGATGGCTTTGTGTATCCTCCTGAAGCCCAGAGTTGGTCCTAACTTCACTGTCAGTGTTCACCATTTCAAACAGGGAAAGAAACAAAGATGCCAGCCACCGTTGAAGCCCACAGGATGTCCCTAGGGGGAGGGCATGAGGGACACCTGTAAACAAAGGAAATAGCCAAAGTCATTGAATGAGGGCAGAGGGCCTTGCTATGTAGGATTAGGATGTTCGAAAAGGGTGGCAGATTTCATGTTAAGGCCAAGAAACTTTTAATCTCTACAAGGTTCTCATGCTGTTCCAGAATATTCCACACTGGTCCTCCTTTTTTCCTGCTTGGCCCTCGTGAGCTGCATTCTGTTTCTGTTTTCACTGTAGAAGCTTCCTCCAGCATCAGGAAGGTGCAGTGGGGGATCTGTGAGCTTCCCTCACATCCCCAGAGACGTACTGTGTACACAAGTCACTGGAGAGGGTCAACATCCCCACTCAGCAGCCTACACTGGTGTGAGATCCACCAGATGACTCTTCATTAACATTCATCTTTGTTCTCTTATTGAATTGAGGCCTCCACCAGCTTCCGTGGCTGAATCTTGTGAGCAAATAAAAATAATCTGATCGGTTCTCTCCATCCGTTCAAAACCAACCTTCCCCAAATCCCAAAAGTAGCAGAGCACTTTTGTAAGTACTATCCAGTCCTTATAAGGAAAAGATACAGGGTATAGTTAAGTATTTTATGAGAGTAGCTTGGCCCATGGGCTGAGTTGGAGGCACAGCATCTCAACCCTAAGCCAGGATTTTCACCACTAAATTTCATCTTTTCTTGTTTGCAAATAAGACTTAAAATTAAGGCTGGGGTAATCCCAGCGTTTTGGGGAGGCTGAAATGGGAGGATTGCTTGAGACTAGGAGCTCAAGACCAGTCTGGGCAACATAGGGGGACCCCATCTTTACAAAAAATAAAAACTTAGCCAGCACGGTGGCACACACCTGTGGTCCCAGCTACTTGGGAGGCTGAGGTGGGAGGATCACTGGAGCCCAGGCGGTTGAGGCTGCAGTGAGCTATGTTTGCACCACTGCACTCCAGCCTAGGTGACAGGGTGAGATGCTGTCTCAAAAAAAAAAAGGTCAAATAATTAATCATGGCACAATTACTACAAGGAAGTATGCAACCACAGTTTTCTAACTTAACCACCTTTCCCTTAAAAAGGGCCTCTGAGGTCTCTTCCAGCTCTGGTTGATTGGATAAGCAGGCAGGAAAACCAGTCCAGGTTAGATTAAGTGAGGAAAACCCAGCCCAAGACTAGCTTAGCTCACCCTCAGTTTTCCCTAAGGTTTCCCTTGCTCAGAGCATCAGACTTTAAACAGTGTGAAGAAGAGGAAACCACCGGAAAGTCCAAAGACCTGGCCCTGGGATGCAGTTCAGAGGTCCTCGAGGGCTTTGAGGTCACTGTGCCTTACTGAGCTGCCTTCCCATCTTGTCAGATGGACAGGTGGAATCCTCCTAAGGCTGTGGGTGACAGACACACCCCTCCCCTGCAGGCAGCTCCCTGCCTCGTGGGTTCATTGTGAGGAGTGAGCCAGGGAGGGTGTGTGGGGCCTCTGTAAACTGCAAAGCCCCCATAGACACTTGTGGGTCTTTTTAGGTTGGGCTCCTCCAAAGACAACCTCCCCCCAGGAACGCCGGCCAGTCCCCTGTTCCCCAGGAGGGCTCCCACTGACACTGGCCCCATGCTTTGCCCGCAGGTACCTGGCGCTCTATGCCTACAAGCCCCAGAAGAGTGACGAGCTGGAGCTGCACAAGGGAGAGATGTACCGGGTCCTCGAGAAGTGTCAGGATGGCTGGTTCAAGGGGGCATCCCTGAGGACCGGGGTCTCTGGGGTGTTCCCCGGAAACTACGTGACACCCGTTTCCAGGTGAGGGCATGGTAGTGGCAGCCTGGGCAAGGAGAGGGCAAGGACCTACATGCCTTACCGCTGTTGTTACTGACGGAGGCTACTCTGTGAGCCGGGCCCAGAAGGCAGCAAGGCCTCCAGTGCCCAGGGTTCAGCCCCCGCTGGTGTCCCCAGGCCCGCATTTCACCTTCTGAACTGGGTTTGCACTCAACTCCTTGACTGTGCTCAGCAGACATTGGCCACCAAGGGGAGAAGAACGGGAACAGGAGGAGCAGGAACAGGAAAGTCACCAGAGTGAGGTCTCAAGTGTGAGTGTGAGTTTATGTGAGGACAGTGCGTGCACATATATACAGTGTATTCAGTGTGTATGCGTGTGCAGAGTGTGTGCACGCTTCTGTGTGCTTGCGTGTATGGTATTTGTGCATGTGTGCAGTGTATGTGCAGTGTGCATGCCTGTGCGTATGCATACTGTAAGCACAATGTGTGTGCACATGTGCATAATGTAGGTACAGCATGTGTGTACGCAGTATGTATGCTTGTGTGTCATCACATATAGATATGTGATATGTAAAACACTATATACATATATGCAAAGGAAAAATGATATATTCCCAAAGGTTAACAATTGTTGAGTGGTCGCATCGTGGTAATAGATTGTTTTTTCTTTGTGTTGTCAGTGTTTAATAAGTTCTTTGTTCTACTGCTTTTATAAAATAGAATATGTAATTTTAGAGTCACTGAAGAGACAAGGGGGTTGTCTGGGAATTTTTCACTGAGATGAGGGTCCACAGCTTGGTGATATCAGTCAGCCTCACTGGGCATGGCCCTGTGTTGACACTGCAGCACACACACACAAGTGAAAGACGTGGCCTTGGATTTCTCCTGTCTTTGGAACAGGGCTACAGTGGAAACAATTAAATAACCCGTAGAGCCTGCATTGATTGCTGGGCTCATTCCCACTTGCAGAGTGTTCTTGGGACACATGTGGTGTTGATATGAGCAGCTCTAGTTCCCAAGGCAGTCTTCAGCCAGGGCCTCTCTCAAGGTGCCCAGAAAGGGCCTAGGGATTGATGGAGTTGCCCAAAGCCTGAAAGGTCTGCAGGCACAGGGCTAAAGGGGCAGTCAGAAATCCTTTGCTCAGGTGATGCTCAGCAGGGAAAAGCTTGAGAAGCAAAGTGCACAGAGGCTTCAGGAAATGCACCCCCTCAAACCCAGCCACCTGGTCAGAGGGGTGGCTCTTAGGGGGTGAGCTGCCCACAGCCTTCTGGGGCTTCGTCAGTGGTGTGGGGTGACTTGCCCAGCGTGCGTAGCCCCGAAGGTCTCTGGTCTGGATTTCCCACGCCAGTAGCTACAGGTTGGCTCTCTCAGCCTGCAACCGGCCTGTACTTGAAGCCCTTGGCCTGGCGTTGGGCTCACCTGTCGTGTCATCAGATAGCCCTTGCAGGAAAGCACAGGTCACCTCTCTAGATTAGGGGACTCACTGACCAGCTGGCGCCCTCCAAGAAGGCGCAGCCTGAGATGGCAGGTGTCCACACCTCTGGGCTCGCCCGCCCTGCTGGGGGGCATCACTCTGTCACACGCCCTACTCTTGTATGAGGAGGCAGGTTCTTCCTCCACGCAGCAGGTTACAGCAGCAGCTTCTGAGGGAGGCCATCGGCTTCCCAGTTTCCAGTTTCTCTCCTCTGATTCTTCCTTTATCTTTACCTGAGAACTTCCACAGACCTTCAGAGATGTAAAGCCTGCGGTTTAAGTCCAGCTTCCGTGCGTGGCACTGGGGCCCTTCACCGCCTGGCTGGGCAACTCCTGACATGCATCAGTCAGCGTCACCACGGGGAGCTCTCTTAGGCGGCCCTCACCCCCACAATACTGGAATGCCTTCCACCCTTTTCCTGCTTCTGAATTAAATCACTGAATATCCTTCAAGAACTGGGTCCTAAGTCTTCTTGCTATATGAAGCCTTGCCTGGAGGCCTTCATCCTTGCCTGTGCCATAGTCAGGATGGACAGCTCTACCCACCTTGTCATCCCAAGCAGCCCACTGACAAGTTCTGCCTGTTAGGGTCATCTACAGGCATGCAGGATCCCCCCTCACAGGCCAGCCCCTGGGCCACAGTAGCCATCTCCAGCTTTGTTTCCCTGGCTTCTTGCATACCATGTTCATATACGAGGTGCTCAATAAATGCAGGTCGAATCAATACATGAAATCTAGTTGTTCTGATCAAAATGTCTCCTCAAGAACTGTCTTCTCCTGCTGCCAGGGAGTTTGTTATGGGAAGATCCTCCAGCTCCTGACACTGGAGCTCTTAGCGGGGCCCGGGCCCCTCCCTCCACCTCTGCTGTGCACCTCATGGTTGCTCACTCTCCTCAAGCCCTCTTGGTGTGTGTTTTCCAAAGAATGGCAGAGCCAGGAATAAACATTAAGCAAAAGCCACTCCAAATCGAGCCCCGGTAACTGCAGTGTTGGGAGGTCATTGAGTGTCCTCTCTGGTTCCTTACAGAACGAACCGCCCCCGGGTCGGCTGCCCCCAGGTCAGTATGTTAGAGGCCATGGGTCCCTCACTGCAATCCATAGCTCAGCACAAAACAGGAAATCTGGTCTTGGTCTTTATCCCCGGAAGTGGAAGACAGCTGTCCCCCTCCAAGGCTGTGCCCCCAGGACTTATAACTTTCTTGATCCCTACTGGGTTCAGGACAATTGCCAAAGCCACCCAGCAGAAGGCGATGCCTTATCTGGCAGTGATTGGAGGGCGGGCGAAGGCCTACCCCTTCCTGCATAGACCTGGATCCACCAGCTGTGCTTGCCCCCATCGTGCTGGGAGGCCCTGGAGTGCCGGTGGGCTATCGGGGCTGCAAGTATAGTGCCCAGAGTTGAGCATTCTGAGTTCATTTAAAAACCTGGTGCGGGAGCCGGTGTGTGGCTCTTTCCGTGACGGCACGCTCTAAGGAAGTAGGACTAGCCCAGGGTATCCCTGCCATCCTGCCATGAGGGCAGAGCGAGAGGGTTTTCTGCTTCATGAGAGGCAGACGTGTGTCTGTGTCTGTTGTGTTCAGACTTGTCAATATCACCTTGCAAATTAGTGACTCATTTGTGAGCCCACTTTATTTAGTGTTTAAAAATGATTTCCTTGGGGAAAAGTGAGCTCAACGGATAGCAAATGGGATTTTTAAATTCATGGTTTCGGCTGACCTGCTAATAAGCTTGATTGCTGGGATGAAGTTCAGCACAGCTCTGAGGGTGGGGAAGGAGGACACCACCCAGGTTCCCTTAGCAGGTGAGTCCTTTTCCAAGAGCCCCTCTCCTCTCAGCTGCTGTGCGGAAGCCCTCACTCTGTGTTGCCGGGAGCTTCCCTGCTAGAGGTTGTGCCCAGTGGTACCAGCCACAGGGAGATGGCTGGACCAGGCCCAGGAGACAGGGGCCAGGCAGCCTGTTCTCCCACCTGTGGCTTTTGGTGTGTCTTGGAATAAGATCCTGAAGGGACGGAAACGGGAATTTACCCAGCTCTTGGACAAATGGAAGACATTTAATTCCCTGAAACTGAATCCACAGAAGCTTCCAAGCCCCTAACTCTGCCATATTTCACATCGCTACCTCCAGGACATGGGTTAAGTACAAATACAAAGAGGGAAAGCGTGAAAAGCCCAATTTCCAGAGTGGCTGTGTTCCTCTTGTGGGAGCTGATTTCATCTGGAAACTTCGGAGTGAAAGGCCATCTATTTCTGGTATGGAACTGCAAGCTCCCAGACATTCAGAAGGACGTCGTGCTGTGTGTGCCCTTTCCCAGCAGCCAGCAGGTGCGAGGTGGCAGTCGTGCCCAGAGGGGGCCAGCATCCTTGCCATCCTTTCCCCAACGTGCTGGATGCGTCAAGGCCTCGCGGGACATGACTGAGTCATCTGTTCTTTCTGAGTGTATCTGGAGACACACAGCTGTTTGTAAGAACAAACTAAGGCAGTAGCTCTGGTATAAAAGATTTGATTCGGCTCATTTCTCTGTTTCTCAGGGTGGCGTTGCTATTTGTTAAATATTTCACACTGACAGTTTGCACCCCATGCAGTTCTTGTAAAGGGGGCCTTTGTGCCAGTGATGAGCACTGTTTTAGGACTTTGTCCCCAGAAGAGTTGGTCTTCATCTCTCAGAGCCAGCAGGTCAGAGCGAGGCTCTGCCAGAGGCCCACGTGGCGCCATTACCTCTGAGCCTCTCATCAGAATTCCTTCTGCTTTCTCTCCACAGGGTGCCTGCAGGAGGGGCAGGGCCGCCCCGGAATAATGTGGTCGGAGGGTCTCCACTGGCCAAAGGGATAACCACAACCATGCACCCAGGCAGTGGGAGTCTGAGCAGCCTGGCCACTGCCACCAGGCCTGCGCTGCCCATCACCACTCCCCAGGCCCACGCCCAGCACCCCACAGCCTCACCGCCAACAGGCAGCTGTCTGCGGCACTCAGCCCAGCCAGTGGCCAGCCAAGCCCGGAGCACCATTTCAACAGGTACGTTCCCAGACTCACAGGGGCCTCACCCTGCAAGGCATCAACAGTGGGGCTTCCTGGGACATGCTTGTGAGACACATCTTGGCCCAAGGCTCCAGCAGTGCATGTGCGGCTGGTGGTATGTGCTTGTCATGCTCGTGAACGTCTGATCTCTGGGAAGTTCACTTGCCTTATCATGTTACCCATCCTGGCAGCTGAAGTTAATTTACAAATATTTACACATTTCATTGTGGCAAGAGGGCCTCATGGGCTAATAAGATTAACACCGGCATTTTCAGATGCCTCCCCCGTGAATGACTGCGAGCCAGCCACATGGGTCTTCCATCTGCCGCCCTGCAGGGCTTCCCAACTAGGCAGCATCTCACAGGACAGCAGCCCTACACTCAGGTCCAGACTCTTCCCTTTCTGAAGTGCTCTGAGGCAGGAGGAATGACAGCTGTTGATCCTTCGCCTTCATGGCAGCTGGAGAAAGTTAAGGAAAACCAGTTTGGCCCCGGGATGTTGTGAGATGAAAAGAAATTATGGGGTGGACCTTAAGGGCATAAAGAAGGTAAGCACATCTTGGTTGGTGGCTTAGTGTTGAGCTAATAAGAACAGCTGATGCTGGATTTGCAGGCTGATCTGGGAGCCCATGCCACGGCATCTTCCACCACGGTCACCACGGTGGAGCCAGTGACGCTGGCATGATGCCAAGTACCCTGGGACAAGAGAGCATAACCCAGAATATCTCTTCCTACCCCAACTCTGTCCTCTCAGAAATCATCTCTTTCTCAAAGTGAGGCTTAAAGGGCAAAAATAATGTAAATTCATGGAAGCAATAAAATGTTCTATTTCTTTTTTTTTTTTTTTTTTTGAGACGGAGTCTCGCTCTGTTGCCCAGGCTGGAGTGCAGTGGCTGGATCTCAGCTCACTGCAAGCTCCGCCTCCTGGGTTTACGCCATTCTCCTGCCTCAGCCTCCCGAGTAGCTGGGACTATAGGCGCCCGCCACCTCGCCCGGCTAGTTTTTTGTATTTTTTTAGTAGAGACGGGGTTTCACCGGGTTAGCCAGGATGGTCTCGATCTCCTGACCTCGTGATCCACCCGTCTCGGCCTCCCAAAGTGCTGAGATTACAGGCTTGAGCCACCGCGCCCGGCCTAAAATGTTCTATTTCTTAAACCAGCCAACACAATGACCCATTCGAAGTGTCCAGAAAGAAGCAACTTCTCAAGTGTGGAAAGAGGAGACAACACTTAGCACAGCAGAGGCCATATTTCCTTCTTTGGCTTAGCTGATGGGGCAAGGGGTAAATGTCTGTCATCTACTTGCCCACCCAAGTGGGTGCAGGGTGGACTTCAGGTACCCAGTGCCCAGCATCATCACTGGGTTCAGGTGGACTTTGGGTGCCTGGTGTCTGGCACCATCAGTGGGTACAGGTGGACTTCAGGTGCCCAGTGCTGGTGGTGTACCTGTCAAGCAGTGGGTAATTTAGCACTAGGAAAGATTCATGGGTGGTCTGAGCACTACCCTGGTGTCAGAGCCTTCAGGACCTACTCGGCCATCGCAGAGATTCTGTAAGTCTCTACTAGTATCTTTTTTACTTAAATTAGCCAAGAATGATTCTTTGTTTTCGCAACCCTGGCTCCAGGGCCCTGGGAGAGAATCTGCAGCAATATTACCGGGTGCCCAAGCGCACCCTGCAACCCGTGACCTTCTGATCAGCCATCCTTCAGCATGGGTTACGTGGATCTGTGTTTTCTGGTAGCCTCTAGCTGGGGATACAGTCATTGCAGTTGGCAAGTGATCTGGTGATCTGAAGTCGTGCTCCCTGACTGGTCAGAGGCAGCCAGTATGCTTATCTGTTTGGCCCCTGGAGCACCCAGGCAGGACCAGGGGACCAAAAGTCCCAGGCCAGGTCCCTTCTGGTTTGTTTGTTTTTTTTTTTTTTGAGACGGAGTCTCGCTCTGTTGCTCAGGCTGGAGTGCGGTGGCCGGATCTCGGCTCACTGCAAGCTCCACCTCCCGGGTTTACGCCATTCTCCTGCCTCAGCCTCCCGAGTAGCTGGGACTACAGACGCTCGCCACCTCGCCCGGCTATTTTTTTGTATTTTTTACTAGAGACAGGGTTTCACCGGGTTAGCCAGGATGGTCTTGATCTCCTGACCTCGTGATCCGCCCGTCTCGGCCTCCCAAAGCGCTGGGATTACAGGCTTGAGCCACCGCGCCCGGCCTCCCTTCTGGTTTTAAACATCTCATCCAATCAGCCCGGCGTGCTGTACAGATGTTTCCACATGCACCAGCACTAGAAAGGGTGAGTGGCCTTACTCATCACGGTGAGTCAGCATCCCGGCGCAGTGACCCTGAGTTGTCTGCCCAGAATAGCCAGTATAATGGTCTTTCCACACCAAGCCTTGCTAGACACGTTCCCAATTCAAAGAAGAAATGGAGCCCTGCCAGTCACTTCTCCCTCTGTGGAATAACAAGCAGTATCAAAAGAAATTGGCAAGGCTGTGGGGCCGTGCAACATTGTGTCTCAGTCCTCCATCACCATAGTAACCACGAGGGTGCCATGAGCATTCTCTTCCATCAGTTTAATGTTACACATGGGGAGAGCAAGGCACGGGATGGTTAAACGGCTCCCCCATGCATCCCAGCCCAGCACTTGTCCCCACGCTATACGGAGCCATATCAGTAAATTAAATGCCACTGAGTTCCTGCGGCATTTTCCACTTCATTCTGCATTTAGAGAGAGAAAAAACACTGTTGACAGTCCAAGTAATGGATTGTTCCCCGCAGTAATTGCCCATTTCAGCAGACCCCAACCCTGGCGGGTGGGAGGCATTTCATCAATGTTCTCATCTCGAGCCAAAGTCAGGCAGTTTGACAAAGGCTTAATTGCATTGGCCATAGCATCCAATATGATTTGTTCTGCTTGATTAATGTAACTCCTTTCCCAAGGGCAGAGCACCCCCTGTAAAGTGCCAGTGTTCCTTGCACACTCCTGTCTGTGCTTAGTAGGAGCAAGAGCCCAGCAGAGCCATGAATTCATCAGCAAAGAAGCACTGAGAAGGAGCTAGATACAGGCAAGGCACCCTGCAGGGGTCTGGAAATGGAGGAGAACCAGACAAGCCCCATTTCCACCCCAGTTAGAGAGAATGACTAGAAAACAAAGTTCTGTGGTGGGTTTGGTAAAGCGCAGCAAAGGAGGCCTGCTTAGGTATTAGGAGAGCGTGAAGGAGGGAATTCATTCCAACTGGGGAGGAAAATAGGAGGAGGATTAGGGGTAAGGCATATGGAAAGTTTTCAAGAGGAGGTGATAATGCCTTGAATCTTAAAGGACAAATAGGAAATGTCTGAGACAAAACAGAAAAGAGATTCTGAGCAGAGGAACCAGCATGAGCAACGGCCTGGCAATGAGGAAGAGCATAACTCTTTGTTTTGGGAAACTTTATTTAGCTGTGACATGACTAAAGCAAAGGTATGGAAGAAGGAGAAGTCCAGTGTGTAGATGACAGTTCCCTGCAGAGGCACACTGTCCTTTAAATCTGAAAGGTGGGTAAAGCTCAGCATGCAGCAGTAGGAGAGGGTGGGAAGCACTCAGGAAGGGGAAGCATGGGGAGCTCCTGGCCTGCCAAAGCCAGGGGCCCCTGGACGCTGGAATATGGATAGGGTGCAGGAGCAAAGGAAGACCCGCAGTGAAGCTGAAAAGCTAAGCAGGACAGAGCATGGAGGTTCTTCTAGACCATGTCAGGAATTTAGATGTTTATCCTTAGGGCAGTGGGGCACATTAAAGGGTGTTGAATAATAGACATAGTCCTATTTTTATGTTTAAAAGATTGAGCTAGACTTCTGCTTATGGCCAATCTGAAGTGATGAGGACGGGAGTTACCCTCCCACATGAAACAAATTTAAAAAGCCAAGTATATAAAACAACAGTTTTCAAGATACCAGACAACCAAGGACTGATTCACGAGAGACGTTGCAGGCACTGGCAAAGGGAAGCAGGTAACCAGGTGGAGGAGCCCCACAGGCTTTCTGCAGTGAGGACCTGGAGATTAGAGTCTGTGACAGAGAGGTCTGGAGCTTCCAGGGCAGTGATCGGAGAGGAGAGAGCAGCACAGAGAGGCTGCAGAGCATGCCCTCAGATCTTCAGCCGACAACTAATCTGCATATGAACATGAGAAACATACCCAAAGCCAGGAAAAGAATCAAAGAAAGAAAGGATTAGTGCTCACAGTGCCCAGAATACACACCAGCTGGAAATAGTGCCTGTTCCCACCAGCCAGACTGGAAAAATTGCAGAAATCACCGAGCATTGAGTAATCTACACAGGACCTTGCCTCTGTAGTGGGGAATGTTCTCTTCAGACTGAGCACTGTTCCAGTTTCACCCAACAGAGCTCAGAAGCAACACTCAAGAGTCAAGCTATTTCTGATTAATTTAACTTTGTCCCAGAACAAAGCTTAAGAATATTTATAGGAATATATATATAAAAAAATCCAGCTCTCAACAACATAAAAATCACAATGTCTGATGTTCAATAAAAAATTATGAGGCATGCAAAGGAGCAGGAAAATATGACTTACAATGAAGGGATCCATCAATCAATCAAAACTGACCCCAAATTGACATAGATGTTGCAAAGACATTTGAAAATGATATTACAGTTGCCTTTCACATACTCAGAAAGTTAAGTAGAGACATAAGACACCCAAATCAAACTTCTAGAAGTAAAAACTACAGTATGTGAGATCAAGAATATACTAGATGGAATTAATGGCATTTAAACATTGCTGAAGAAAAAATATTAGTAAACTTGAAGACATAATAATAGAAGCCATGGAAAGTGAAACACAGAGATAAAAGACAATTTTGAAAAATAAACAGAATCAGTGAGCAATGGGACAACTTTAAGTGGCCTAATATATGTGTAATTGGAGCCTCCAATGTAGAGGAGAGAGGTAGGACAGAAAAACGATTTGAAGAAATAATGACCAAAATTGTTCCAAATTTGATGAAAACC